CATATAGGTAAGATGACAGGAACGAGTGGTTCCATCATAAGCCTGCATAAAACAGTATACAATATAAAAGACAATATACAAGGACAGTAACAACATACACAATGACCTGAAGAATATGTGTGTTCATTCAAAGAAAGGTTTTCCAATTAATTAATTAGAGAAGAGTCAATTTTTACTGTGCATTGTGTCTTTCCTATGGAAAATGTAGTGAGCTTCTCTACCCACATTCCTTTGAGCAATAAAACCAGTGATATCAGCATTGGTTGCCATGGAATCAGAGGCCTGTTCGTTCGCAGACATCCTGGCACCCAGCATGTTTATTGGATGAGAGGTCTGTGATTATTTGTTAATCTAATGAATAATTGATTTGTTAAATCAAATGAAAAATGGTCTGTCTGACTGGTCCAGACGCTACAGTTGGTTAGAGCGTGGTGCTAATAACGTCAAGGTCGGTGGTTCGATCTGCCTACGGGCCAGCCTCTTTTGTTCTCTGGGATGTCAGCTCTGCTTTTCTACCAAAGTGACGGGTGGTCTTATGGAAATCCGTTTTTGTTATACCATGGGCTGACTTGGCCGAAATCGCTCAGTTGGGAGAGTGTTAAACTGAAGGTCCCTTGTTCGATCCCGGGTTTCGGCAGATGCTCCCTGTCCTCGACTTTTGGCTAACCTGGGCCTGTGACCAAAATTCATGGTGAACCAACCCCGCTGTCTAATTGGCTCCCCATAGCCACAACGCTATCTGCCTTCCAAATGGCTGCCATTGAGCGAGTGGTGGTTCCATCGTGTAATGGTCAGGACTCTGGCTTTTGAATCCAGCGCTACGAGTTCAAATCTCGGTGGAACCTCTGTACTTTCTTGCGGCAGGAAAAGCAAAGAAAGCACAAGCTTGGAGGTACTGCTGGTGACCTTATAAGTGATTTAGTCTTTGTGGCAATGTGAGCAATTGTCACTGTTGCCAAGGTTCCATGGTGTAATGATTAACACTGTGGACTCTGAATCCAGTGCTCCGAGTTCAAATCTCGGTGGGAGCTGCTTTTGCCACGAAAGTACACAAGACCCGCTTTGAAAAACCTTTTGTCAGCAGTGAGCCCCAAAAGCTCAGGTAGGGAGTATGACTACATAGCATCAAAGCGCAGTCTGTCTAGTTAAGGAAGTTAATGTAAAAGGAGAGGTATCTGCGTGGAGAATGCAGGCATCTATCCAACTACCGCTCGCATACTAAGCAAGCGCTCTACCATTTGAGCTAATTCCCCTGGCTGTATGTGGAGAGATGTCTTACCCTTTGACATTGTCTCAAGGTGTAGAAAGTCGTCCATGTTAGGTCATTTTCCTTCTTTTGTTCATGCTATTGTTGTTCTTTTCCTCTGGTAATTATAATGGCTGCCATCTTTTATTAGCTAATTTCTTCTAATGCTTGCTGATTTCATTCAGTGTTTCTTTAAATTAAACTTTCTGAGCTTTCCGGTTGTCGTACAACACTTTGCATCAACCTCTGTTTTTTTTGTTTTTTT